CACGGCAGACGCGGGCAGCGCAGATTTTAATGTTCAGTGCAAAACCGAGTCCTTCAGGAAAATCTGTATTGCAGAACACGCGGCTTCCACAATTCCCCATGGAAAACCTGGGGAAAGTCACCGGAATGGGAGTGTGGAACTGTCTGTAGGATAAGCATGGAATTGTCTCTAGGATGAGCATGGAAATTGTCTCCAGGATGTGTCACTTGGATTTTTAAAGTTTCTCTAAGCCTTCTGATGTTTACATTCTTGTAGCAAATTTTCTCACACATTTTATGTAAATAACTCATTGTTTTGCATTCTTTTATTGAGGAAGAGAAATTGGATGGGCTGTTGGTTTGTGCAGTGTCATTGGAGAGGTGGCACTGTCACTGTCACTTTTAGAAAACTGTAAATGCTGGAGTCAGAAAATAAACTTCCCTTTTTCTTTACCTTGAGAGCAGCAGTGTGCACTCGTGTTGTTTTGTGTCCTATAGTGACAAAGATGAGCATGGAATTGTCTCCAGGATGAACATGGAATTGTCTCCAGGATGAACATGGAATTGTCTCCAGGATGAACATGGAATTGTCTTAGGATCAGCACAGAATTGTCCTGCACTTCCAGGAACAGCCCAAGGGTGGTGTGGAAGCAGCAGCTCCTCAGGAAATGGCAGATAAGAACCCTTCCAGGGGCTCGGGCACTCATTAAAACACGTAGGAAAAATGGGAATATTGGTCCTCAAACACTCCCACCTCGGCAAACACAGCCTGGAGCACCTTTATTTTTCATCATGAGCAGGAACTCCTTCATGCTTTTCCCACCCAGCTGAGTTGTAAAATGAAAACTTGTGTGTGTTTATAAAAGGAACCATCCCTGCAGAGTTGTTTGTGTTTATAAAAGGAACCATCCCTGCAAAGTTCTATGTGTTAATAATAAAATCTCCATCTCTAAACGCTGCCAGTGACTGGGGCTGCCCCAGAATCTGCTCTGCAGGCCCTGACTGAGGAGCAGAATGTGCCAGCCTTGCTTTAGTGCCTGCAGAAGGGGTTTGGGGAGCCCTGGTGCCAGTGCTGCCCAGTTTGGACCATTGCTACGCTGAATTATTGACACTCTTGCAAACCCACAAACAGAGGTGGAGCTGGCAGCCCCACGGGGTGTGTGCTCGGTGTCACTGGGGTTTACAACAAGGGCTGACAGCACAAAATGAGGGAAAAGTGGAGGCAAAGTCCAAAGTCTTCTCTGAGGCTGCCCAGGGTTCATTCCCAGTTCCCCAGGCAGCTGCTGGACTCAGAGAACTGCCCTAAAAATAGGCACTGATCTGCAGCTAAACCGCCAATTTTCCCTTGTTTCACTTCCAGCCCGAGCCAGGAGCTCACTCCTCACTTGTTTGCACAGAGGATGCACCTCTGAGCAGCCCAGCAGTGACAGAAATCCTTCTGTGCCCTCCTAATTGTGCATTTCTGGCTGCCAGGTACCGTGCATGGCTGCACAGCACTGATTTTGGGGCAAGGGGATGCACCAGGGCCTGGCTGCACCTGCAGGAGCAGCAGATCCTGCTGAAGGTCTGATCTCCTCACAGCACCAGCCACGAGTCACTCTGCAGGCTCAGAGCTTTAACACTGACACAAAACCCTCACCAGAACCTCCCTTTAGTGCTGAATTCCTGAATTCCCAAATTCCCAAGGGCAGCACCAAAACCTCCCTTTAGTGCTTTTAGTGCTGAATTCCTGACTCCCCAAAGGGAGCACCAAAACCTCACTTTAGTCCTGAATTTCTGAATTCCCAAAGGCAGCAGCAGAACCTCCCTTTAGTGCTGAATTCAGGAGGGGCAGGACAAGGCCACGGGCTGAGCTCCTTTTCCTGATGGAAGACAAGGCCATGGGGTGAGCTCCTTTCCCTGCTGTAGGATGAGTCCATGGGGTGAGCTCCTTTCCCTGATGGAGGAGCAGGATGAGGCCATGGGGTGAGCTCCTTTTTTTGATGGAAGACAAGGCCATGGGGTGAGCTCCTTTTTTTGATGGAAGAGGAGGATGAAACCATGGGCTGAGCTCCTTTCCCTGCTGAAGGACAAGGCCATGGGGTGAGCTCCTTTCCCTGATGGAGGAGCAGGACAAGGCCATGGGCTGAGCTCCCTTTCCTGCTGAAGGAGGAGGAGGCCATGGGGTGAGCTCCTTTTCCCGATGGACAATTAAGCCATGGGATGAGCTCCCTTTCCTGAAGGAGGAGTCCATGGGGTGAGCTCCTTTTCCTGTTGAGGGATGAAGCCATGGGATGAGCTCCTTTTCCTGATGGAAGACAAGGCCACGGGCTGAGCTCCTTTCCCTGCTGGAGGATGAGTCAATGGGGTGAGCTCCTTTTCCTCCTGAAGGAGGAGTCCATGGGCTGAGCTCCCTTTCCTGAAGGAGGAGTCCATGGGCTGAGCTCCTTTCCCTGCTGGAGGACCAGGACAAGGCCATGGGGTGAGCTCCTTTCCCTGCTGGAGGATGAATCCATGGGCTGAGCTCCTTTTCCTCCTGAAGGAGGAGTCCATGGGCTGAGCTCCTTTCCCTGCTGGAGGATCAGGACAAGGCCATGGGCTGAGCTTTTCCTTCCAGAGGAGCAGGACAAGGCCATGGGGTGAGCTCCTTTTCCTCCTGAAGGAGGAGTCCATGGTTCGAGCTCCTTTCCCTGCCAGAGCAGCAGCACGAGGCCCTGGTTTCTCTCAGACCAAGGTCCCGTTTTTGCTGTCGTACTTGAGCCTGGCCCTGGGGAAGTTGAGGGTGGCGTACTCGGTGGGCTGGTGCTGCTGCAGGCTCCTCACCGGGGCGGCTGAGCGCTGCTGGGCCCTGCACAACACCTGGATGTCGGCGTAGTGGATGCTCTCCTCCTGCTGGACTCCCCTCCTGCTCACCGTGGCATACACAGGGACATCTGGGACATCCTCATACGTGGGCACTGCTGATGGGACAGCCTGCTCAGAAAAAAAAAATAAAACTAGATAACTTTTCCCAGAATTGGCCTGAGAGACTCTTACAAAGAATGATTTCAGCATAACAAATATTAAAAAAATTTGGCTTATCTCCTGTCGTGGTTTGATTCTGTCCAAAAATTCTGCCCTTTTAAGTAGGCAAAGAATAATTTGGTCACTCCATCAACAGGGGGCACATTCCTACAAGGGGCAAAAAATATGGGAAAAGCCATGGGCAGTGTGCCCAGATTAGAGACTGCCCAGCAGGAGAGGATTCTTGGCTCTGGATCCTGCCCTGTGTCCCCCCAGCCCAGGGCAGCTCTGTCTCCTCAACCCACCCTTAGGAAAACCCTCTGGAAATTCATTTACCTTGCTGCCAGGCTGCTGCTGCTGCGCCTCCTGCCTCCCATTAGCTCCTGCAAAAGAAACTCCACTTCAGGGGTCAGCCTGAACCAGTTTGTTGTTCCACCTCGGGGTGCAGCAGTGCTGGGTGGGCTCTCCCCGGGGCACAAATCAGATTTCCATCTCCTCTGACTCCCTCAGCCCTGATGCTGCCCAAGAAGAAAGCCTGGGCTTGTTTCTTTGGGGAAAATGAGGTTTCCCAGCATGGCAGCACGCTCTGCACCACAGAGTTCTTGGCAGAAGGCACAGACCCAGCACAGAGAGCTCCTTGTCAGGCCCTCAGAGGAGTCAGAGCCACTTTTAACTTTGTCATTTCCTCTGCTGCCTGGCAAACACGTTCTGCCCAGCACGGTCCAAAGGCCACAGGACACAGCTTGAGGAATGGCCCTGATTGTGGCAGGGCTGTCAGACAGATGTTTGCAGCCCCTGCCCTGCTGGAGAGCTCCTGGCTGTGTTTTGAGGAGGGATTTGGCTGTGCTAAAGGCACTGCTTGTCACAGACACGTTTTCTGAAAAATCCTTTCCTTAGGATTTTTCCTCCTGAGAAGCTGAGAGGCCTCAGGAACAAAATGTAAGCAATGGTTATCTGCTGCTGTGGAATGCAACAAGTAGATCTGTAATTAGTCTCATGCAGTTATTTCTAATTAATGGCCAATCACAGTCAGCAGGTTCAGACTCTCTGTCCCAGACACAAGCCTTTGTTATCATTCCTTCTTTTTCTATTCTTAGCCAGCCTTCTGATGAAATCCTTTCTTCTATTCTTTTAGTATAGTTTAATATAATATATATCATAAAATAATAAATCAGCCTTCTGAAACATGGAGTCAGATCCTCTTCCCTTCCCTCACCCTCAGACCCCTGTGAACACGGTCACAGCTGCTGAGTCCCTTCCCTCCCCACATCCCGTGGCACATCACCCTCCTTGCTTTGAGATTTAAGGAAATTCTGCCTCAAACTCCTCCTGAGGAAGGTTAAGTGCAAAATGAGTGTGGAAAGGAATGTCCCCTCCCCGGGGGCTCTGTCACTGCAAACATTGTCACACATCCTTACCTTGCTTTGCTTTCTTCCTTTTGAAAGGTGAAGGGCACTTCCTGAAATCAGAGAGGCAGAGAGACACATCAGCCCTGCAAATCCCAAACCTCTGCCCCCCAAAGCAGCCCAGACCCCATGTGGGGTACCAGGGAGTGGGACAGACCCCAGGAGAGCCAGCCAGGAGCTCCAGTGACCCTGGCAGGGGAGGTGTCCAAAGGGGGGATGTCCAAAGGGGAGGTGTCCAAATGGAAAGTGTCCAGAGGGAAAGTGTCCAAAGGGGATGGGATGTGTTTCCTCCTCCTGGGGCACCCCACACTCCCACAGCCACCCCAGCTCTCCCTCCTGCCCCAGCAGCATCCCCAACAATGGGAGCTCCTCTCCCTGGAGCTTTGCATTTCTGCATTTTCCTCCGTTCCTGATCTCAGCTCTGAGGCACGGGCTGAAGGGCACCATCCCATCTGGCACCAGCCCCTTATTTTGGGGACACCAACCTCTCCTTTTGGGGACACCAGCTTCTCCTTTTGGGGACACCAACCCCTCCTTTTGGGGTCAGCTGCCCTGCCAGTGCCTGCATGGGGCTCCGGGGAAGGAATGCAGGCCCAGAGCAGTGCCCCGGGCAGGGCTGTGCCTGTGCCAGCTCTGCCAGGCAGCACAGCCATGCCCTGGCACTGCAGAGGGAAAACAACCCCCCCTGGGAATGCAGGCAGGAATGGCCAGGAATGATTAACCAGGACTGGGCAGCTTTGGCAGGGCAGGGTGGCCGAGGCTCCAGCGCTGCCACAGGGGCACCCCCAGCCCTTCACAGCCAAAATCCGGGGGGTTCTCCCCAGGAATTTGGGTTTAACTCACAGCAGCCCCTTTGTGGGGCTCTCCCAGCCTCCTCCTCCTCCTCCTCCTCCCCTGCCTGCAGTGTCCCCTCCTTGCCCAGTTTGTGTGGCAGAGCATTCCCCTTACTGCCAGCACCCAGATATGGAGGATTTCACCAAACTAGCACCTTTTAGGGCACTTTTCTTCCTGCCAGCACCCAGGTGTGAGGATTTCACCAGAGCAGCACCTTTTGGGGCATTTCCCTTCCCTTTTTGGGGCATTTCCCTTGCTTCCAGCACCCAGACACAGAGAATTTCACCAAACCAGCACCTTTTGGGGCACTTCCCTTGCTGCCAGCAGCCAGACAAGGAGGATTTCAGCAAGCAGCCCCTTTTGGGGCAGAAGCAGCAGGGTCCCTGCCCTCCCTGGGCAGGCAGGGGCTGGGCTGCCATTCCAGGCTGTTCCCCCAGTGCAGGAACACTGCAGGCAGTGTGTGGGCTGCAGCTATTCCTGTCGGCAGGATAATCACAGCCAGGCATCTCCCCAGGAATGGGGACACGTGTGGCAGGGGAAATGGGAGCTGGAAACCTCTGCCCTGCTCTCCAAAGCTGCTGGAGCTCCCAGCCCGAGAGGATTCTCCGTGGCAGCGCCCACAGCCCTGCTCCTGCCCTGTCCCTGTGCCAAGGCCAGGCTGATCCCTGCCCCACACAGTCCTGGCACCTGGATTTGGGCAGCCTGTGCCACCTTAGTGCCACTTTAAAGGTCAGAGGGCCCAGACCCGAGGGCACAATTCCTTCATCAATGACTCCCCAGACAGAATCAATTTGCTGTGATCAATTTTCTTTCCAGACCTCACACTGTGCCCCAGGCATGCCCTGATCAAGCCCCGATGCCCCGGGTGCCTCATTTGAAATGAAAAATGGGAGTTTTGGGGGGTGACCACCTTTCCACCTCCCACCTCCAACTCCTGTTCCGAAATCCCAAACTCCCCAAGGTTCAGGGCTTGGAAGAACCTCACTGTCCTCAGCTCCTGAGCCTTCTTCCACTAGGTGATGCTGTGCCTCTTGGAATTATTAAAAACTGGATGAATTTCTTGCACTTTCATCTGAAATTCATGGCTCTTCCCTTGCAGAGCTGAAGTTATTCCCCCTTGGCAGGGAGTGCTGTCCTGTCTCTGCGAGCAGGAGCTGCAGGGCACAGCAGGAGCCAGGGGGGATTCAAGTGCCACCTTCCCTCCCTCCCTGCCAGCCACAGCGTCTCAGAAACGTGCCCAGGATTTCCCGAGCAGGAATACAAAGCACTGGGATGCTCTTCCCCGGGAGGTGGTGGAATCACCATCTCGGGATGTGTTTAACAAAGCCTGGACATGGTGCTGTAGGCTGGCTGAGGTGTTGGGGCACAGGTTGGACTCAGTGATCTTGGAGGTCTCTTCCAACCTCATCATTCTGGGATTCTGTGAAAAAAAAATCCAGACAGATGCGGGCAGGGAGAGGGGCTGGGATGGGTGAGGGCAGGACGGGGTGGCTGAACCCCCCTTGTCCCAGGGACCCCTCAAAGGGACCCCTTACGAGGA